TTCCATGCTCATGCCAATTCAATTTATCTATTTTAAAAAACTAATTTATGCTAGTGAAAATAGTAAATTGAGCTTAGATGGATAACAACGCAAAGAATATGCTATTAAATACTTTATAGAAGTCGATTAATCTGGTTTATTTTAAGTGTCACTAACTTAATTGGCCTGCGCTATTAGTTAAAGGTTATACTTACTCTAAGTGAAATGGTATCGTCCATGGTAATAATAACTTATTTTTGAATTTAGATTCTATATTGCTTATAAATACTTCAGCTAAGAGCTTCAATAAGATAAACCCTTAGAATTTTTGTTCTTTTTCTATAACCGAAGCATAAGCACGACAAATTTAGTTTATTCGGTGGAAAGCGTGCCTAATCTGTACATTAAAATATTGAATTCTTAAAATCAAGCCTTATTTACTTAAGTCAATATACTTTAACCTATAGAGAGCGAATTTTGAAAATATAAGAATGTCTTAAATATATATATATATATATATGTGTGTGTGTGTGTGTGTGTGTGTATCATATGTATATATATTTATATATAATTAGGGGCTTATAAGTTCTAGCCGAGATCAAATGTGAAGTCCATCCTGAGTGAGAAAGTTAATAGAGAAGTAATGTAAAATAAAATATGATGGAATCTCGAAGATATCCACTTATTTTGCCATTTAAAACCCTATTTTTACTTGTAACTTCGCTTTAAATGGCCTAGTATCTGTCAATACAATAATAAGGTTTGAAGTCTCTACAGTCTAACTAAAAGCTATCACAAATAAATGGATCTAACTAAAAAATAATTTATTAATACCGACAATACAAATGAATATTATTTTCTGTCTTTTAATATATGTATATAAATAAAGTTTTGTCTGAAATATATTTATATATCTAAACGAATTTTATATGTAAATACTGAAAGCATAATAAAGTTGTTTTATTAGAACCAATTTCTATAACTGAAATAGCTATAGAAAGTTATGATAGAACGAATAAGGCCCAAATATCTTTCCTAGGAAATAGTATTTAATCAATAAAAAGTAATGATATAAGCAGACAATTAATATACCATTTATATATACTAGCAAATAATTATCTGTTTAATTTTAATGTGGTATAAATATTCAATTAAAGCTGATTGAAAGTCTGGACTTTATGTAATGTATTATGTGTTGTTCAACCAATATAACCTTATAAAGCTAATTGAGATCAAAACTGAAGATTAGATGAAAGCTAAGATATTTTAGAGACTAGTTTTGTTTGAATTTAGGGAGAATCACATCCATCCCTCAGCTTTTGAAGTTTTTGAGAGACGTAGAGCATATTTTTTTATCAAAACTATAGTGTATAAATAATTATGAGTAGAATTGCTGAAATGACTGGTGCTATATTAAGTTTTGCTAAATCTGAAAGCTGAAAAAGCAGAAATCTTTACTACTCTACTTAATAAAAAGGTCAAATTGTTGGAAGAATCGAGAGAACGTAAAAAGCTTTTATGTTATAAAGAGTGCTTTTGATTAAATGAAATTTGTAACAAATAAGATCCGGCTTTTTAAATTCTTCGAAACTAGCCTTAGAGACAAAAGTAAGGAAGAATATAA